CACAAACTTTCCTTGATGGATCTCCCACTGGCCTGGGGACAATCTGGGTAAATAAAGTAGAAGATCACGAATTCATATTCCCTTGTCCTCCTCCTCCCTGCTTCCCCTCTCCTCCCCTCCCACACAGCATGGAGGGAAGCCCACACCCGGTCTCATGGGGGGTTTACTTGGGCCGGGTTAATAGCAATTGTGACCACTGATGACTTGACAGCTCTTCTGCCCTTGCTGAAGGGGATGAACATAGGAGAGCCACAGGCATGGCAGCAGAGCATATATCCCTCCCTTTCAAACATCTTACAGGACAATGCATACAAAGACTCCTGACTCTCCTCTGAGGACCAGCCAAGAATACATTAAGAAGAGTGGAGATAGGAGGATCCTGGTACATAAACCCACTTTTACTTTAATGAGATCAGTAGTATTTTGGGTCCTTGATTACTAAAACCTTTACATGGAACAATATGTTCTCTGCAGAAAAAGCTAGAGAACAAGGTAAACTATTACTACATCAAACAATGTCTGATCAAATCAACCTGGATGCAAAAGCATCAGACAACACCAGTGAGTAATGCTGCATTTCAGCCAACACTTCAGCTCACATTAGCACATCCGTTGTAGTTCTTGGGCAATCATCTTGGTCTTCCAAATAAGTTGAGATCATAATCTTTCTGTTGTTGTTTCCTGCCAGGCACAGAAGTGGTTTCACCCTCAGCCTTTTCCAGACCACTGAAACAGGAGACACTAAAGCAATCTGACTCTCCCGTATGCAACTCTTGCCAACTCGAAATCTCCCAAAACAATAGGCTGCACAAGGCCAGTACTCCAGGAGATGGGGTTTATACGAGGTCCAACACCTTTGCCTAAAAATGAATCATAAAACCACTAGATCTCTATTCCTGAGCATTACGCCATCTAGCCCCAACAGAGTCGAACTGTGCAAAGTGAAAAAGAAATCAGGAACACACTGAACTTAAAACTGCAAGTATATTTTAAATCCTATTTTAGATTCATTTAAATTAACTGAGGTCAGGCAAATTCTTAATTCAGCTGGGTTACTCTTAATATCAAAAGCAGTCAGCCACATTTTTCAACCAAAAATAAAGAAACTCCCTAACAGAAGAACACTCTAAAACTCAGTAGAGATATAGAAACAGCTTACAATAAACTACCTTCTGGAACAACTAATGGAGAAAATTACTGTTATTTGGCCATGGGAAACAACTCTTTGTATATTATTACATATTTTGCAGGTCACAAATTAAGAGCACAATTTTTATTTTCTAGCATAGCACTTTTCCAAGGTGTTTCACAAAGAACACCAGTGCAACAGAGAAAAGCAAGTCAAATAAGATAAGTGTGAGAAGTTCTGCCTTCCCTAGTCCCCTCCTTGGAAATGACTGATGCATATTTGCAGTAAACTCTATGAATCCAGCATTTTCCCACGTTTATTTGGCCCTGCAGTCTGTTTTCTCTTAGAGAAAGATTTTTCTAGAAAATAGATATAATGAAATGGTCCAGTAGCTAAGACTCTGATGTCAGCCTGATTCGAATACCAGCATAACCACTTGTTAGTTATGGGCACGCTTCTTAACATCACTTGTCCCTCAGTTTCCCCAGGTAAAAATGGTCACAACAATAGCAGCTAGCTCTTAGGTGTGGGTCTTCCAATATGAATGCAGCTGTCTGCTGAGAGCCTTATTTACTTCATGCCATTTTACTGCCTACTATTTTTTGTGAGGTCTGTGTCTCCCACAGCAAGTTCCTTTTTGTCACTCAGATCTCAGTTCACAATGACACCCCCTCCAAGAGGCCTTCCCTGACCACCAATATGAAGTTGGTCCCACCCAAGTCACTAGTTCTTCATCCTCTTCTTTTCCTCATGATACTTCTCTGTTTAACTGTTAAATAGGTATTTGTACACTAGTTGACCCCAATAGAATACAAGCACCATGTAGTCAAACGTTATCATTTATCATTGCTCTATCCCAAAACACATCCTCAAATACATATTCATTGGATGGATGGATGGATGGATGGATGGATGGATGGATGAGTGAATGAATGAATGAATGAGGTGGCTGTGAGAATTAGATGTGAATCACATAAATCATTCTTTGTAATGCCTGACACATGAGCATCAATCTAGACAGTTTTGAAGACTTTTGATGAATGATGTGGTTAATGCATTCGAAATTCTGACACTATTTAACTTGCCTCTTCTTGCTGTATCATGAACAAACATTTAATGGCATTTATTTAGAGATGTGTTGGTAAATGGGCTTGCAGGAATGGGGCAGGTGGGGGGAGTGCAGGTAGCATTTTACCAATTTCCATGGTGTGAATACTCCCACCATGACCAATTTCAGTTATCAATGGTTTAAAAGTAGGCTCACAAAATTCCAGAAAATAAAACATAGGGCTCTCACAAGACAGTACAAGTCTTCTCTGGGGAAGGGTCTTTTCAGGCCTCCAAGTTTTGTTTGTTGAGTTGAAGTTTAAAATTTTTCAAAATTTAATTTTTTTATTGATTTTAGAGAGAAAGGGAGAGTGAGAGAAAGAAACATCAATGATGAGAGAGAATCATTTGATCAGCTGCCTCTAAAATAAAATTTTTATAGAGGGATATTTTTTCCACATTCTCCCTTTTTTTATGAGTCAAAATAAGGACTACCCACTGCCTGGTCTGATACTCAAGGAAACTAGTTGGATGTGTTGGGCTACATTTTCTGTGAACTCTCAGACTGGTGTTTAAGGCTCTAAACATGATCTATATCCAGATATGAACATTGTGAGGACCAACTAACCTCATAAAACACAAACTAAGTTTAGTTTAGATTTATTTAAATGGAGGCATCCACACAAGAGAATCAAGGGACCATCTATTAAGTGCCACCAATGAGCAGAATCTGATAACAGAATAAGAGTGACTCTTATCCTGACCCCAAGATTCCAACATAGAGTGAAGGTCAATGCTGCAGATGGGGGTTTCTCTGGCACCACAGGCTTGCTGTACATGCAACATGACCCCTTGGCACCGAAAGCAAAGCATCTGTGTTTTTCAAGTACAGCAATCTACAAACCAGAATTTTGAGATGACACACCCAAAATTCAAAATCCACAGTCACTCTACATGCAAGTGATAACATGCCAATGATTTTTGCTTCTCTTTTGTAAACTATATGGAAAGTCTATGGAGTAAGGCAGGAAGAGACTAGCTTCTAATTCACTGTATCAGCTACCTATTGCTATATAACTATTACCCCCAAAATTAAACAGCTTAAAACAACACATATTTATTATCTCACAGTTTCTGTGGATCAGGAAACCAGGTACAGCTTAGCTGGGTACTCTGCTTCAGAGTTTCTCACAAAGCTCTAGTCCAGGTGTCAGCCCATAGCCTCCCATCTCATCTGAAGGCTCAACTAGGGAAGGATCCACTTCCAAGCTCACTAAGTGGTTGTTGGCAGTTTTCAGTTCTTTGTGACTTTGTAGTGAGAGTCTCAGTTCCTCACTGGGTATTGGCTGAAGGCTGCCCCTGGTTCCTTACCACAAGGACATCTCCCACATGATAGAAGGCAATAGAGTCTGTTAACAAGATGGAAGTAACAGTCTTATGTAACTTAATCATGGAAGTGTCACTGGCATCCCATTACCTTTGGCATTCTCCACTGTTTAGAAACAAGTCACTGGGTTCAACTTATACTCAAGGGGAGGGGATTACACAAGGGCATTCGGGATCATTGTGGCCATCTTAGAAGTCTGCTCACCACAACCAACCTTCTTGGAATATGAACAGGAAAACCAGGTCCAACAAAACACCTTTCTAAGCATCTCAATGTGAACCCAAGCCATGTGGTTTCTTAAGCATAATGCTAAGGTCTCATAAAAACAAAACAAGAGAGAATGAACACTGAGGACATTAAGTCTGAGAACACAAAATTCTGTTCAAATGGTCTAAGCAAATACAATCTATATCAGAGAAAACCCCTGGGGGCTTCTGTATTAGTAAGTCCCAACATGAAAGCCATTTTTTCTGAACAATGAAACGAGTGACTCATGGGAAGGCTGCCCATCTGAGCAGGTATAGAATGCCAGGAAATCTAGTTTGGCCTAGAAGCAAATACCTTTTGGAATTTTTATTTGTTGCTGTAGCATAATTTGAAATTTTACTTCATGCCATTTTACTGGCTACTATTTTCTGTGAGGTCTGTGTCTCCCACAGCAAGTTGCTTACATGGTCCTTTCGCAATACAAACCCATCATAGTGGCAAAGAACTGCTGTAAAAGTGTCAAGCCTTAGCTGTCACCCGCCTTCTATCTAAGCTCCACCCAGCCACATATTCTCAGATACATGAGCATCCCAACATTCAATGGTGGTGGCCGGCCGGAGAGGCTGCTTCTGAAAGACTGGGAAGGATTTAACCCACTAAGTGCAAAACACATAGAAAACATGGAACACTCAGTCCTGGATGAATGCAAGGGCAAACAACAAAGATTATCTTCAATCTAAACGTTCAAAAATGCTCCGCACGTTTTACCATGCTTTCCAGAACTATCCATATGCTTTCTGAAAATTCTGCCCTCAGTTCAGCTATAAAAAAATAGTTAGGTTTATTGTTTTGCTAATCACCTATTCATTTTCCTCCTCTAGAGCGATGATTTTTGGTAAACATCTAAAACTTAAACAGTACTGTACAAAGGCCCCGAAAAAACGACCATCTGTGGGAAAGCAGCTGTAAACCACCTTAGAGCTGACACGGGCTACACACGCCTGGACCCTGAATTCGTATTAAATAATAATAGACCATATGTGTGATGAGCAGAGAAAACAAACTAATGCAAAATTCCAGCTTGAAGGTGATAAGCAGACAGGAAGGTTATAAAACAGGTGACCAAGGGAATTTTAAGGCCGTAGATGTCTTCCAACCTGTGAAAACAACTTGATAACAAACCTTAACTCATAAAATATGACTTTGGGACAATAAAGGGGATGTTCTTACCTCTCTCAGATGTATGTTTTCCTTCTCTTTCTGGTCTAAAATCACCTCCAAGTGGCTGACCTGAGACTCGGCCTCGGCCACCCGCCGCGTCCGTTCATTGTCTTCCTCCAGACTTTTGGACGGCAAACCTTTACTTTGTAACATCTCCAGCAGCTTTTTAATGGACTCGTCTCGGGCATTGAGGGTCTGTTTCTGCGTTTCGATCCTCAGCTCCATTTCCTCCAAGGTCTTCCTCAATAGGAACAGCTCCTTAGCCTGCCGGTCATGCTCTGCTTGCAGCCGCCGGAAGTTCTCCTCCGTCAGCTCGATGGTGAAGTGCTCGGCGCCGCGGTTGCCGCTCTCTTGCTGCAGGAGGTGGTTGAGGTCTCTCTGGGTTCGCAGCTCATCCTGAAGGGCCTGGATTGTCAACTGCAGGTGCTGTGATGGAAAGACGGGGCGGGAGAGGAGACAGAAGGAGAAAAGTTAATGGCCACGCCAAGGGCTCTGTGCTGGTCCCGCACCATGAAGATGGAATGTTAATCATGAGGTCCACAGGGCCAGCGTGAAGTCCTCCGGGGTGACTTCAGAAGCATGGGACAGCACATGGAGAGGGGGAGTTAATTCAATGAGGCTTTCTCAATGTCTTAGGAGAAAAGAAATGCACACATACACAGAAACAGTAGATCAGTGTCAGTCACGAGGGAAATTGCAGTCTACGGTTTTAATTTAGGAAGTGGGAAGGGTTAGAGGGAAACTCACAACACACCTTCTTTATGCCCACAGTGCTCCAGACTCAGTATTCCTTGTTTCCTCAGGGGTTCTTTATTCTACTATCCATTATTTTCCATGATAAATGCATGTCCACTTAAAAATGAAAATAATAGCATCCACTACAAGTAGACACAAACAAGGACTTTATTTTTACAAATAAAGCTGTGAACAGGTTTAGTGAACAGGATTACTGCATCTGCAAGCAAAGGGAACAAAGGCAGACGGAGACAGACAAACACATGGGGAGGTGAGGCTGTGCAGAGTAAAACAAGCGAGCTGCAAAGAGTGGACAAACCTTGGTTCTTCTGGCATCCAGCAACTGAACAGCATGGGAAATGAAAAAAAAAATGAAGCAGAAAATCAACACAAAGAAAAGTCCAGTGCAAGCAAAGGATATTTAACAGAAAGAACTTAATCAACATAAAGTACCTTCACAGAGAAAAAAAAGAAAAAGAAAAACAATTTCTTCTTACAGCAAAGACCCATAAGCTACACACAATCTATAGTGCTGATGCTTGATAAATATGGTTTTTTTAAAGTGAGGTTTATTCCACCTTTTCTTTTCCTGAATCTCCCTGAAACAGTGAGTCTTGGGTGTATTACCATGGAGAAAAGCACAATACTCCAGAAGCACCCACACTTAATTCCAGGTCACCCTTTTAACCAAAATTACAGGGAGAACACCAGAGAAACAAAACCATTACCAATGTGAGAAGAGAACCCCTTGGAAGAATGAAATAATGATACATGTTATAACATAGATGAAAATGTGCTAAGTGAAAGAAACCAGTTATTGCATGATTCCATTGATAGTAAATGTTCAGAATAGGCAAATATATAGAGACAGAAAATAAATTAGTGGTTGCCACGGCCTGGATAGGGAGGAGATAAGGAGATACTACTAAAGTGTATAGGGTTTCTTTTTTGGGGTGATGATGTTCTAAACTTTATTGTACTGATGGTTATATAACTTTGTGAATATACTAAAAAACTACTTAATTTTATACTTTATATATGCCTCACCCAAGGTTATGTTTATTGATTTTTAGGGAGAGAGGAGGGGAGAAAGAGAGAAAGAGAAACATCAATCAGTTGCCTCCTGTATGCACCCCAATCAGAGATTGAACCTCCTACCCAGTCTTGTGCCCTGATCAGGAATCAAACCTTTTGGTGTACAGGGTGACGCTCCAATCAACTGAGCCACATGGGCAGGGAAGTGGTGTATTATATTTTTTAAAAATAATTCATAAAGGCCATCATGAAATATGTACCAGTTGTTTATTACCCATCAGTACCCTGTGAGGCACTGTGGCACATGGATGAGAAAGTGAGTACTTGACCCCTGTGCTCTAGGAATTTCAGTGGAAATGTATAGATGAAGTGTATATCCGTGATAATTCCTACCACAAAGAGTTGTTGTGAGAATTGAATTAGCTAATACAGTACATATAAAGCTCTAGGAAGTACAGAGTAATCACTTATACTGTATCAGTCAGGATAGGGTAGAATATGCTGCTGTGACAACAGCAACAGAAACCCACATTCTGAAAGACATAACCCACCTGACGTGCTGAGGACACAGAATCAGAACTCTTAAAGCTCAAAAAGACCTTAAAGATTCACATGTTGACATCATTTCACAAATGAGAAAATCAGATCACACAGGTTAAATGTCAGGTGCAAAAACACACAAACTGCCAAAGCCAACATCTCCGTTTCTGGGGTCCTGGGCTCCATCCTGGTGTGTATTCCAAAAACCCTGAGAGTAGACAAAAAGGGGGTGGCTCTCTACTTTAATGACTTAGGAAATGGCAGTCGTGTTAGAGGCAGAATGAGCAATAACCTAAATGGTTTCGCTTATACATCACTGGGTCCTGTCCAATAGTTAAGTAGCATGGGACACAACAAGGACAGGGACAATTTATTGAGACCTCCTTTCTAAGTCCTTGGAATTAGACTGTTAGCTAATTAGAATTAGCTATTAGAACACAAACTCAATAAAAACTACCTCTAAAGATCATAAACAATAAAGGGAAATCTCTTGCAAAGCCGAAGACCTTTTCTGAGGGTCAAAAATGATGCACAGTTTTCAATTCCCCCTTCCCAGATTATTCAGTTCCTTCAGGCTGAATCACTCCCCTTCTCAACTGTGAAAGCACATTTGTCTTACGGCAGGCACCCAAACCCCACTGGATCAATAATTAAGAGCATTCATTTCAGCTTGTTACCTACATCAGGTACCTACCTACAAACCAGCAACCTGCAAGACTGGATTCTAGGGCCATCTCTTGGAATCTCCCAGTCATCACCACAGTCTCAACTTCCCAAAGCCTCGAACACTCCTTCTATGGCTTCTATTCCACTGCACAACTAGAAACAGAAGCCCTTCCAATGTCCACCTACATCAGGAAGGACATCACCACATGATCCGACCTCGTACCTGTATCCCAGTCAAACTGCTGTCAACTCAGCACTTGTGGCACAGGTGAGACAGGTGGCAAAAAATTCTCTTCAAGTACAAAAGTGAGGCAGTGGTTGGATGAGTATTCAGAAAGCTTTTTTCTCCCCACCCTGATTCTGGGATCATCTCCAGTGACTCTCGAAGAATCAAAGCTCAGAAAGCAAACCCCTTTCTCCATGGCCTGCCACTGAGGACATCACGGAGGGAAGCAAAGCAGGTGTGACCATGGACATACAGGCTGCTCCTTCCAGTCAGTCCACTAGGAGAACAAAGAGAATGTGTCACATTTATCAGGATACCCAGCCTTTAACCAGCTCTTTTTAACCTTTGCCCTCCACACTTAATCACACGCTTTGAACTCTGCCCTGGAGAGTACAGACTAGCCTCATCTCCAGTCCACAGAAGAAAAATGGTTTAAAATCATTGGTCTGCCCTTTAAACACAGGTAAACAAAATGGGAGCTGGAAAGATTAGTCTGTCCAACTGATTCCAAGTCTCAGACAGTAAAGGAGGTTACAATGACTTCTCTTTCTGGTATTACGGTAGGCTACATTTTCTGGTAGGCCCTCCCAGTATGCAACAGGCAGATAGAAGCAAATATATCTTTCAAAGCATTGTTGTGTTTACAAAAAAAAAGTAATCTCCAGGAGAAAGAAAGAGAAAGTGATCTTCTCAAGGGCAGGTTCTGGGCCAAAATTGGATTATACCCCCAAATCTAGCACATAGTGGGTATTCAATAAATAGAGAGTACAATATGGGCAGGAAGATGAAAGGACCAAAGGGGAAATTGTCTTGCCAGTCAGTTGGCACATGGGAACAATGTGAGGGAGAATGGGTTTCCGTTCCTCTTTGCTTTGCTGTTAAGTTGGGGGTGAGGAAATGGTGGGGAGGGGGAGTGTGTCCTTGACCTCAGATTACTCTGCCCGGTTCTGTCCTCCAAAACTAAAAATGCCTCACATCCACCAGGTCACTCGGCTGACAACACTGCTCTGAAGCTGCCAGCACTACGTCCACTCCACAAGGGATTAAATAGGGCAGGCTTAAGGGATTGGACTGCAATCACATCATTAGCTGATACGGGCCAGTGTCTAAAATTGAGGTTTCCTCCAGCCAATTCTAAGAACTTCATTTTGCACAACTCTTAAAAGCTCAAGAAAAGGAGAACCATGAAAATAAAAGAAACTAAGCCACACTTGAGTTTATCTGAAAGAGGAGGGGGAATATCCTTTGCCTTAGCCAATGTTTAGTAGGGTGACCTCCAATTGCTACTGGAGTCAGAATCTAATCCAGATTTCAGAGTATCTATAGCACAGAAAGGTAAATAGAATGAATATATATTCATATGATGTACATGGAACACACAATTATTTAAATAGGGACTAGCCAGATGTTTAGAATCTACTGTGTCTTATCCCCAAATATGGAAAATATCAGTTCCTGGCAGATTTGGGGGGGAAAAATCTGTGACCTTAAGCTCTTTTCCACACTATGAGGAAAAAACAAAGAAATGATAAAGTTTTGTACTATAAAGCAGTTTACGGTTTCATTGCTATGAAAACCGTCTCTGAGCTATATAAAAATATGAATTGGCTTATACCCAAAAGTCTTGAACTTTTTTTTTAATAAATCCATACGGCTTCTCAAGCAAGGGCTTAACATAACTCTTTCAAAGAAAACGGAATCTCTCTGCAGACAACTTGGCCTGCTCTACTTCTTCTGTGACTTTATTTTCCTATTTGTCATTTCCCAGTTTGTCTCTAATCAAATTTTAAGGGCAGGTTCTCTGATCCCTTTTTCCGTAATCCTGTAGGCAGGACGCACAGAACTCCTCATGGCTCCAAACCTTCATGTGTGTGAAAAGACGAACAGCAGACGTTGGCGGAAAACATATGGCTCCGTGTGCTGTGGAAGAGTTGCTCTACTGAGAAAAGTATAAAAAATTAATATTTGGACATATGGTCCTGGGCGTTCTCCTTCAGGATGGAATAAGGACACTGGGTGATTCTTATAAGCACCAAAATGCGGGGACCCTGGGTTCCTCGGGCAGACGTGCTGTCAGAGATAACTGTGGAACCCACTTAGGTTGATAACATGTGACATTGTGCCAAGATTCATAACACTGGGAACAGCATCCATGGGAAAGCCCTCTTGGCAGCTGCTTTCATAAGCAAGGAGTTCTGGTTTTCATTACAGACCAATACCATTAGGTGGCACAGTATCAGAATATGGTGCTGAGCTGAGAGTTAAAGATTTACCTTCTAAGTCCAACTTTGCTACTAACCAATTATGTGATCTGGGGGAAATCACTAAACTTCTCAGGGATTCCAAGAACAGTGGTGAAGAGCTGGGTTTTGAGTCCTACCTCTACCTGTGACAGTCTGCGTCACCTTGGACAAGCTACTTAAGTACTCCGAGCGTCAAAATATTCATCCTTAAACGGGAGATAATAATCATAACTAATTTACAGGGTTCACACAAAGACCACATGAGATGCTTAAGTAAGTGAACAAGTTCCCATAAAGCACAAAACCCAGCGTCCTGGCACATACAAGTGCTCAATAAATGTCCACCATAATCACCACTGTTGAGACAGAGGTGGTGGCTAGAGGCCTGCAATTAGATTTTTTCTCCCGTTTGAGCATAAAAACCAAATTAACATAAATTTTTGATCATCAAATAAGTGTAATGGTGGGAAACTAAATGCTAAGCGCTTTGGCATTTTTTAAATAAGGGAAAACAAGAAACAGTTGTTTTAAGACAAACTCAAAGACGGATAAAATTGATTACCCATTAACTGGTCTATAAATAATTCTACAAGGGGCTGCTGGAATACCAAACATTTCTGTTTTGAAGATCAG